TCTTTTCTTTTCTTTTCTTTTCTTTTCTTTTCTTTTCTTTTCTTTTCCTTTTTTTTTTATTTTATTTTATTAGAGAAAGCAAACAGGTAATCTGATTAGTATTAAAATATGTACAATAAGACAGAACCAGACACTCATGGAGAGACATGCTACAACAGTTTCTAGTGTGATTCCCTACTTCCTCTACGCATTCAACTGTATTTTTCAAAGAAGTAAGTTTACTTGCAAGAAGCAAATTCATTGTTCTCTAATCTAACTGTGCAGTTGTAGAACCACATCGTCTTTCTGACTGTTCACGTGGCTATGATTGTAAATACAACACTTGTGACCAGTTCAAAATGCAGACAGGATCAAAGGGACTGTACAAAGGCTGCCACATCAGAGTGACAATTACACATTACGTCTCTAACATTAGACGGATACTTTCAAGGCCACAGCTTTCCTTCAACATCTTCTTTGTATCAAGCTCAGTAACATTTGAAGTAAACAGAAGTTTTCCTTCTCAGGAACGCAAGCCCTGGTAATTTCAACATTTGCTCAAAGAAAAGCACTGTATTGTTGCTTTATGTCACAGTAAAAGCATTTGATTTCAAAGACTACAAGCAGAAAGTCTTCTGCAAGATGGAAACATTAAGACTCGTTGCACTGCATTAATTTGGACATTGCTCAAGTCCAGGCTCGATGGAACCGTGGGCAGTCTGATCTTGTGGGTGCCCACCCTACCCATGGCAGGGAGTTAGAAATGGATGGTCTTTAAGGTCTCTTCCAATCCAAGGATTCTGAGATACTCTACTTATGACTCCAAGTTCTGTAATACAAGCCAAAGATGAAAGAGAGAAGTAATGCACATAGATGCGTGCTGTGCTACAGGTTAAAAGCAGCAGGCATCTGTATGTCTCCAGATGATCGCATTCTTACTGTGCCCTCTTGGGAGAAAAAAAAAGAGGAGGGGGATGGGGAAATATTTCCCAAATAAGTATATTTCATACTTGCTCATTATACGCCTGAGATCCAAGGTTCACAACATCTCCTGAATGGCTTTCTGACCTCCTTGTTCTGGCTCCCTTTTGTTCTCATATAGTATTTGGCAGAAATAGAAAGCACAGTCAGCACAGTAAGGCCACAGGCTACATTAACTTGCTCCAAGTGGCTCAGAAGTGTCTTTTTTTGGATTACTTCTATGACTGCAACACTCACGAGCCAGTAGCTAATGAAGCAGGTTACTAATTTAACAACAAAATTATTCCAGAATGTATAAAACAAAGCAGCTTCCTCTGTTAAGTCAGGCTCAGTTGCCCTTCCTTTTATTACTGCATCTATGTGAAATGCAGCGCACAGCAATTATGCAGCATGCAATCACAGCAAGCTCTTTGAAAGCAGCCATCCTGTTCCACAATCATGTCATGCCTCCACTTAAAATGGATATATAATATTTTTAATACTATGTCTCTGTAGAGACAAAAAGCTACAATTACAACATTCAAATGATATTACACCTCCTATCAAATAAAAACCATAAAGGTCCACTAAATTTATTAAACATATTATTTACAGGACTTATGTTCAGAAAGGCACTGATGTCTGCAACTGCAATCCACAGTAGTCAACAGCAATGTTTTTTTCTACATACAGGCATGTAACAACAGTTACACAGGGAAAAAAGCCCAACCTTAAAATCCCCAAAACAAATCTGAAAAGAAAAACAGCTATGGTGGTCACTTATTTCAAAATGCAAGAAGAATAGTCTTAACCAGAGTACTATGAGGTACTGCCTACTTCTAATGAAACACACATGATACTGAAATTAATTATATCTGTTTTGAGAGAAATTTGCAACAGAAATGTATTCCTCAGTATAGATTCACAACAACTGAGAAACATTACTTCAGGAACTTGCACACCTCACAGTTTGAAACAGCTGCAGCTTTCATATTTCATCTGATGACAGTATCTTTAGGACTTTAAGGCTGACAAACACAAGCAAGTAAGATGAAAAAAAAAAAAAAAAAAAAAACCAAGATATTTTTAAATGCTCAGAAACATCTTTTGATCTATTTCTAGTTTGCCTCCTGACCTTACAATGGGACTAAGAAGACTGAGGGAGAAACTTGATAGACTCACTTTGTTTCTCCTCATCAAATACCCAGAAGGTATCTTGCCTCGCCTTCACTTTTCCTTAAATAAACTCTGGCTGCAAACTAGAACCATATTTTTTAATACCTCTTAAAAGCTTCCGGAAACAGATAGATTGTAGTCTTCTGATTACATGGTGGGAGGAGAGGCAAAGAAAGGCTACAAGCTATTAATCCTGCCAATAAAATCCTGAAGCCATAGAAACCTTACAAATCTTCCTAAACCTCATTTTGTCATTCAGTTGCTAAGAGCAACTTCTGTTTGTTTGAAATAAAACATAGGACTCTGGCCCTTTGCTACTGGCACTGTAGCATGAATATGAAATGATACAAAAGCAATGTATTTCCTTCTCTGAATATATACAAAAGAACATAAAGATACTTAAATTCCACTTGGCACTGCAGCCATCTCCTACAGGAAAACTTTCCATACTAGTGCACATACCAAGAGGTGCACACTCCCATTACACTGCCACATCTCAGCAGCAACCACAGAGTCAGAAATCTGCTGAGCTGCCAAGGTCCTGCCTGGGTGGCCAAGAGGTTCAAGTCTACTGCAGTATCTGCTACGTACAGCCGCCTTGCCTTTTAAAAATCAACACCATGAGTGGAGGAGCCTACATCCCTTGTAATAGACAGTTTCACACAAATACAAGACTCCAATAATTTAAGTGATACACAGCAGGGATTTAATTTTGATGTTTAATTTACTGTGTATATAAAGGATCAAGAGTTTAGGAAAACAACAGACGAACTTTACATTATTTAAAGTAAACAATTTGCATTCTCCCATACTAGAAAACTAACATGTTTGAAAACTGATAAACATGTTCCACTATTCTCTATTCTAGAGCAAAATGACACTATTTGAAGTTGTCATGCTTAACTAATTAGCAAAGCAGAAGGTCCTCTTTTCAGTCTTAAAGCAAAATACAGCTCAGACACAATGATTCAAATAAGGTAGCATACTTACAGCAAAAAATCAGCAGTTTCTAAGTTGATTCCAATTTTTGACTTTGTATTAGACTGATAAGAAATATATTTTTTTAAAAATATGATTTTTTCCCAAGATCCTAGAATCAGTATCATAGAATCGCTCAAGTTGGAAAAGACTTAAAGATCATCAAGTCCAACCACAACTAGAAATCTGGAGAGTAAAACTGCTGATTTCAAATCTTTTAACCTATTAGCAGATATTGATATCAAAATGGGACGTAAGGTTGCATATTTTTTTCCTGTTCACAGGACTGTGTTTAGCCAATGTATCAAAATGCATACAATAATTTGCCACAACATGAGGTTGTCATAATTGAAGTTTCATTTTGAATACTGTTATGGTTTGAAACACAGCACAGATAAATTGATATTCATCTTGAAGACGGTTGTTTAACCAATTTAAATGAACAGTCAAATCTATCAAAAACATTAAATCTTTGAGACTTTTTCACCTCCAAGTTCTGACACAAATTTTCCTTTTCATTCCATACGTGACCTGATATGATTTTGTTAGTCATAAGACAGTATTTTACCTTGACTTAGACACCTTCCTTCAGAAAAGTTAATGACGTCCCCATAATCAGCATCCATTCTTTGAAGAAACTCCTGGAATTCATGATGACTGAATCCATTGGACATTATGAAATTCACAACTTTGATCGTGATTTGCACAACATTATCCATTTTTGAAGTTTTCACATGTAAAGTTCCTTGATGTATGATAAATTCACAAATGTGAACTGTTGGTGGCAACTGTATTGTCTTCTTCAGAAGTTCCTGTTTTTAGACAGCCACACCCAGGGCTCCATCAGCAGCTATACCAGATATGCTGGCCAAGGTTAAAGAAAAATTACTTTAATGTAATTCCTACTGCTTCATACAAATTCAGAGGTTTACTTCTATCTTTTAATGGCACCAAGGTCACTTCAAAACACAGTCACTGTGTTTTACTCACCAAATGGCACAGCACATGTAATGTGCAATACACACAGGTATCAACACGACTGAATGTAGTGGGTATGAGAGAGGCAGCACTGCACTGAACCATTTCCTCCACAGTGTTCTGTTGTCACCTATGCAGCCTGCATTTGAGCTAAAAATTACTAATAATGTTAAAAGTTTACAGTCTTGTGGGGCCATATTACTAGCTGTCGAGGGCAGCAAATACATCTATTCACTGTAATTTTAAAAGGCACATATAGTGGATTACTGGAATATTTCAGTTTGTTCCCTGTTTAAGCAAGTGAATTTTTGAATATTTTCAAGAATGGGGGAGAATTAAAACCTAAAATGATTATTGATGTATTTGGGCATTTAAGTCACTGTTTCATGACCGTTTAAAACAGTCACGCTGTGAACAAGATACCGCATGATCATTATAAGTAGGTGAACTAGAACACAAAACCACTGAGCTTCTCTAAGAGTTGATTTAGTACACCAAGTTCTATATTGCTTTGTACCTAGTAAGAGTGTCACTGCACTCCTTAGGTTACATGAACTTTATATCAGTCTACAGTTTTGTAGGAGAAAACATATAGTGACACTTGCCTTAAATAAATACAATTCATTTCAAGAACACAAACGGCTTTTCATTAGAGGGAATATTGTATTGTAACTTTCATAAGGCAACTTTAAGTGAATCATAAAACACAGGAACATTGAAGCAAAATGTGATATGGAACTAAATGAAAGCTTTGATTCAAAATAGTATTTCACTGTCACAACTGATAGTAGACATGTGTGTTCTACCCAAGACCTCACATTTAAACTCTATGCTCAAACATAAATAAAAACAACAACAAAATGTAAAAGGCCAGACATGCAAACATTGATCCAGTTGCCGCATTCCACATCAGCAAATGCGTACATACCAGGTTTGTAAAAAATCACATCAGTTTCGGCTAAATCTGAGCTCTTCAGTCCTTCCCTCTTTTCCCCAATTTGAAAAATGACTGGTCCTTTGATTATGCTACTATACTTGTCTACAATGGGACTAATGGGAACATGAGCATCACATGCCTGCAGTGAGTTTGGCTAATGACTGAAATCTTACAGACACGATGTCATTGAAGAACTACATTGCCTAGATTTGAAATTGGCCCAATTGGACTAAATAAGCTGCTTTAATTCTCTCAGAACAGAGCAGAAGAGCATGCCTCTGTCTTGACCCACTGTACAAAAAAAAAAGAAAAAAATAAAAAAAAAAGAACAGAAAAGTGAAGACTGAACTCCTGGCCCAAAAAGCAGAATTTGTTGAATCTTCAAGGTTTAATAGTTTTAGTTACTCTTTTTTTTACAAAGGCTACAATTTCAAAGCAAAAAATAAGTATTTGCTGACAGTTAATTTGAAGGAACTTACAGTCCTAAGCAATAACACCTGAACTCGAAACAAGGCTTTAGGCTCCAGCCTTCTAGCCACTGTCACCAATGAAGAACTGACAAACACTTCACACAGGCATGAGGTTAGCAGAAGGCCTCTAGAGGGCTACTGTGGCTACACTGGAGCAGAAGGGGCCATACGAGCAGCTTAAAACCAGCCAGCTCTTGCACATTTCCAAGTGTCAGCTGTGACAAAGGCAGGCATGACTATGTTCTCCACACATTCCTGGGCACCCTCCTACCTAGCCTTAGGACTTGATAATAAAGTTTCAAGACACCTGAGCCATAGCAGCATACTGGATGTCTCCCCCCTGCGTTGAGGAAAGTGGCTATGCATCCAGCTTAGCTTTTTAGAAATATCAGACAGGTTGTCAATGGAACTGTGCCCACACCAGGCCACACACAATCCTACAGGCAGCAAGCAGGGACAGCTGGCAAGCATATTAGGTGGAGGAAGGAAGCACTCTGTGGGCGCCAAGCACATTCAATGCAGAGCAATCCACATTTCAGAAGTCAGTTCACATCCTCTGCTGTCAAAAACCCCAAAATATGCACATTCTTCTTCAAGCCTAGGTATTCTGCTGAAGCTCAGATTGCATAGAAAAAGACACTGTACTTGCAGAGGACTAGGCAAGGACTTAGAGGGATTTAAATGAGAGATGAGATTAATCATGCCCCTCCAGCTAGTAACAGCCAAACAAAAGTCTGAAATCCCTGACTCTCGTCTTCTGTGTTTCAAGATCAAAAAAACAGTATTATCAATCACTGACAGTTTTTAAAAAACATTTTTAAAAACACTGTAAGCTACAGAAGTTATATTGAAATTAGATACAGATTGACAATTATGTTTCTCAAAACACAACATTTATTTACTCTTCAGGGGGAAGAGAAAGGAAGCAAAGCCAAACTGTATATAAATATATGCTGTGCGTTTTTTTAGTGTATAAGCTGGTCAATAAATCAAGATCTTAGAGAAAGCTCCCCCTAGCCTGAGAGGAAATCAAACATGACAAGAGGTCTCTGTCAATTCCATTCCACTAATACTGCCTATGTTTCTTTAAGAAAACAGTACTTCTCCTTGTTTCATACGTTCTTCCAGCATTTTGCTTTCACCTACATGTTTTGCCTTCTCAAGCAATAGCTTCAGACTTGTATTTTTCCACTATGAACTGACATCAACTCAAAACCTGCTCCTTAACTATTCAAGGGCATGTAGGCACAAAAAATATTGTCCTCCTGAGCAGGTTGGGTGTGGTACTTGAATATTGTACATTCCTTCAGTTAATTGAAAATCATATCTCTGCTTTTCAAAGGCTTGGTAAACACATGGCTTGGCAAAAAGATACTGAGAAAAAGCCAGGAAAACCTATCTCAAATTACTTTGATTTCAAGTATGCTGTTAATATATACATCGATTCACAATAGAATTTCTGGTACTATATGCCAACATCCTCCTTTAAAACCAAGAAGAAGAAAAATCAAAAAGTAGGTCACTATAAAAATGTACAAAACTGGAAGAGAGACAAAATACAGTTCTTTATCCACAGTTTTACTAACTTCAGTTAATCGTATCAAAATTGAGATACGGATCCCCACAAATTAAGACAAACTCCTTTGTTCCACTTATTTTTATTTTTCCCCAATAAGACCAATTTGTGGCAATCATATCCATTCTGTAAGACAGGTCCCATCTGTTACTGACATGTATCTGTTCCACAATAGAGATCTGGGGAAGATTCTGAGCCTATACCAGCATTTCTTCTTTGTTTACAAAGGTACCTGGAAAACACATTTATGAAGCATTATCCATAGCTACAACATACACACTGTCAGAGGCACTAGACGGTTTGAGGAGTTATTAGAATAGTACCAAATGGATTACTCAGAACAAAGTCAGCTGAACATTAGGGGAAATAAAACATTTACATACTGACATATGCCATCTTTGAAACAGCCTATTTCTTTCAAATGCTGAAAATTGATAGCTTTATCCTTATGGCTCCTAAGATTTTAAAAAACTTATTTAAAATTCATTTTTATCCAAGCCTACTACTTCAATAAATGTCAAGATTTGTCATCAATTTGTAAAAGCAGTATCTCACATACTTTTTATTACAACTTTAGTTATAGTCATGGATTAGCTCTTTAAAACTTCAGATAGCCTGTTTTTCAGTTGAAATTGTGGAAATTTCCAGAACAGAAAAGTATTCAACTGAGAAGGTCAGTTTCAACTTAATGCTGCTGACATAACGGACTGGATATCACAACAATATGAATGCAAAAATAAAAAGCATTTGCATACAAGACTAAGAACAGTTTTGTGCACTTCAGCTTTCTGGAGTCAGCTCAATTATCCCATCTGAAATCACACAATGGACTAACATGGTGAACACAAACTGTTTTCTGTGCTGAAATGTCAGTGCCATCCGGTCCAAACTTCAAGTTGCAGGCATGCCTGTTTGACTGTGAAGAAATAAGACCTTTAAATGGTCAATAAGGGAAGTTTCCCTTGATACACTGGGGGCTTGCCATGCCATTTTATCCAACAAGTATAACCTATCTCCCAAAAGTGATGGTTTGTTAATTCACTTGATGTTTAGCAGATAAATGAAGTGTAATTTTAAATAAATACATAATACAGTCCCTGTACTCTAGATAGTTTGCATTCAGTATCACAGATAAAGAATATTTTTAACACTATCAGTAACACAAAAATATATAGTGCCATTTGCCAAAATTCCACATAAAACATCTTTTCTGAAAATTGTGTCACTATCAGTATGGGAGCAGCAGATGTGCTGTGCCATGGAGATGATAATTCATCTTTCTCCAGTGCCCTTTATGGTGACTCACTCCCTAAAAGGGCTTGCCATGCTGGTGTGGTCAGATTAAATGGTATCTCTGCTCATAGCCATGAAGCTCCTCACTGCTCTCTGATCTTAGCTCAGAAGGTCAAGTCCATAATAAATACCAGGCAACTGAAACTGCACAGTTGTGGCCAGACATCCTGTTTGCCATGAATTCTATTTTAGATACTTTCATTAGTATTAGTACTAGTAACGGGAACTCCTGATTAAATCAGTTCGTTTGTTGTTATAAAGTAATTAATCTTGTAGCTAATTAATCCAAAAATACTTAACCAGAGATCTACTCCCATTTCTCACTGTCGGTTTGAAAGTTCTCCTCCCTACTGCCATCCCCACAAGTGCCTGACCTGCATCTCAGGAGCTTCCAGACTATCCTGAGAGGCAAAGATGCAGGCTTTCATAATTACTTCAAAAGGGTCTTTCTGCTATCTAATCTGAAAGTAATATAGTTAATGAAATTTGTAACATTATACTTCTAGATGGAGCCAAGACATTAAAAAAAATACAAAGCTCAAAACAATTTATGCAGAAATTATCTAACAGCAAACTAGCAGAAGGCCACAAACATCACCTGGGGGATGGA